AGGCCATCGCTATTAGGTATTGAAAGCTATTAAGATTGGAGGCCATCGCTATTCGGTTGGAGGCCATCGCTCTTAGGTATTGAAAGCTATTAAGATTGGAGGCCATCGCTATTCGGTTGGAGGCCATCGCTATTAGGTATTGAAAGCTATTAAGATTGGAGGCCATTGCTCCTAAGCCTTGGCGTTCGATCCAACCTCTGCAAAGCGCTTCTTGGCCCCGTCTGGATCCTGCGGATTCCTGGGATTTGACACGGCAGGCAACACAGCTCCGCCTGTTGTTCCACAAGTCGGAGCCAGCCGCACAGTTGCAGCTTGATGTGCAAGTCAAGATGCTTGTCTGGATGATGCTTCAGTGCCTTCAATCCAAAATGAGAGTTTGCGAAAGTCAAACAAAAGAAATGCAAAGAACTGACGCACCACTTGCAAAGGGTTTGTAGATTTGAGGAGAAGCATCCCCTCTTTTGTTTACTCCTCTCTGAGCGTCCAACCAGCTTGCGGTAGGCTTTCCGAACATCAATGTCTGTTGCCTCCTTGGCACATAAGATACTGCATGGCACAAAGTGAGGACCGGCCCCTCAGAAACTTGTGTTCGTTTGCCAAGCCACTGCTGCAATCTCCAACAAGCCATAGTGACGGCCTCCGCGTGTTCAACAAATCTTCAGGAAGCTTGGAAAGATGTCCGCATCTTCCGTTGAAAAAATCGAACAGGAAAGCACTTAGGTACGCTGCGCAGCTGCGCAGGGATGAGCCGCTTTGTGGTCACTGGCTCCTTTGAAATGAATTCACTCTTGATAACCTCTTCAAACCGTGGTGAAGAGCCAATCCAACTGAAAGCACCACCAGAGGGTCTTGGCTAAATAGACAAAGGATTGCAGCCTTGGACCTTTTGAGAACTGTTTTGTGCTTTGGGCATCTTGACCAAAACGCGGGGTTTCAAATCTGACCAGACTTGAATCAAGGCCCACTCCTGCTTTGCGTAGCGGTGGGCAGTGGATGCCTCAGTTTCGTGGCAGCTCACAGCTCGTTAAGCGATAAAAGTGAAGGTTGCTTTAACATAGTTTAGTAGCCTCTTGTTACTAGTAGTAATACTAGCAGCTGCTAGTAGTGATGCCAGGAGCTACTAGTAGAGTCCTTGCTAGAATCAGAAGAAACGTTGTAAGCCGACTCGTACTTTTGTAAAAATATACTGGAACAATGTAAGGGACCCTTGAATAAGAACCCGGGTACTGGTGTAGATGTACGATTTGCTTTGAACATGCTTGAAGGCATTATGTAAACATCATTTACAGTAATTTTACGGCGCTTTATACATGCGCTGTAGAGTATCCTGGATCCTATATTTTCCAGCGATTTCTATGTTGCGCAGCACCACATGTACATCTAGAGGGTCTGTCTAATAAGATGGCTCTTGAGGGAGCCTTGATAAAGATGCCCCCTTACCTTCATTTTACCCAAATAGTTGAAAGTTCTAGGGATTCTTACTTCTCAATGACTGGGTGGCTATATAATCGGCGTTTTGGTCCACTGCTGCCACTGCTGCCTTGTTTCACCACTTGTCTGCTTACGTGTCTCCCCACTTGGCCGCCTGTGATTGTGATATTGGAGACTGCAGGCGCGGGCCAAATACAAAATGACGCGGAGAGGTGTAGGTGGACCCACTCAGTCACACACGGTCAGTGGAGGCTCTCATGGATCTTTTTTTGGCACTTAATTTTTGTTCAGGTGCTTCTGTCGTTAGAGCTAGTTGCTATCTGGGGTCTATGCCAGTATATTGTTTCGATTTTATACACTTGTGTTTTGACTCAATACTCAAAAACACCGAGTCCCAAGGTTCAGCTCAGAAACCGCAAACTGCCGGAAGTCATCCTTGTCACCTTCGGAGTCACGCCGTTCACGCCGTGCTCGAACATTGGACCAAAACTCCTCCTCCTGCAACTGCAGTTTGAGAGATTGACTAGTACTAACAAGGGCTATCGCTACTAGTAACAAGGGAATTACTACTGCCAGCAACAAGCAGCTACTAGAAGCTATATTCAGTTACCCTTCCAACTCATCCGAAAGAATCAGCTGTGCATCTTGGGACCCCTTGTCGCGAAAGGCACTCGAATTATCTTACACTCGCAATCAAAGCCTAGCAGTCATATGAGTAACAAGTGCATCGCTAGTAGTAACAAGTGCCTTACTAGTAGAAACAAGAAGCTACTAGTAGCAAACGGATTTAAATTAGTTTAAATTCTAATTCTATTGAAATCATGTTTATCTGGTTCCCCAAAGCGACCTCTTTGCGCTCAGCTTGCTCTCGCAGGGCGGCTTGCACTGCAGCAAGGTTTGCTGCACGCCGGGCAGCTGCTGGATCAGCCTCTATGCCTTCACTTGAAGACTGCGCTTGTTTCCGGAAATCAAAAGGAAAACATAATTTGTTCTTTTCTCTCAATTCTGAAAGCAATCTATATACAAACCTTGCGCCTGCGGAGAAACTCACATGGTTTTCCTTGGCTCAGTGGCTCGACTTCTGGTCCCTCATACTCCATCTAATAATCTTGAGATCTGAAATCTCTGATGTTCTACCTTTCTTGACCAAGGATCTAAGGCATCTTTGATTCTCCGAAAGCCCCGGTTGTGTGCTTGCATCGTCAATTTGTCTCAGCTTTACAAGAGAACTCAGCCGCTGTACCTGCAGTGATGACATCCCTAGTGCAACATCTCTGGTAATCTCCAAGGCACTGCAGTTTGGCCAGAAGCATTCTTTATGGAGGCATCAGCCCCGCTTTTGAGCAACAGCTGGCACACAGCACTGTGACCTCAAGGCTTCGAGCATGTCTTTTCAAAGGTCGGGTGACCCTTCCATTGCTTCTAGGTTGGAGCCCATTGCTATTAGGTTGGGCGCCAGCGCTATCGCTATTAGGTTGGAGGCCATTGCTAGAGGCCATTTCTTCTAGGTTGAACCGCCCAGTTACACACCCCAAGTCTCCGGCCAAGGTGTGCTGCCCACATGAGTGGAGTGTCATGCTGAGCGCTGCGGGCATCAACATCTGCACGGCCCTCAATTAATGTGCTGCAAACGGCATGGTGGCCTTGCAAACTGATTCGAAGTGGAAAGAGATGAAGCTCAATATGTCGCTTCTTTCCAATATCGTCTCTTCTTGTCTGTCCCGTCTCCCTCTCCCAACCTCCGATGGTGGCTAAATGAAGAGCTGTCAGGCCATCTGCTTCACAAAGGTCCACCAAAAGCAAGCGCTCCACGCAGTTGAGGCCTGTACCACTGGCCCGAGGGACCCCAAAGTAGCCAAGAGCTCTGTTTTCACGAATGTTCTCACATCGAATGGTGTGCAAATGTCTTTAGCAAACACACTCTCCTGAATGCTGGGGGTTTCGACTCCGGTCAAAGCAATAGGTGCAAATATTTATATAGACTGCCTTGAAGCAGTTGTCGCACTTGGGACAGCTGTCCCTGGAAAGCTGCCTGCCGCAGCGTCATCATGATAAACTATGATCAAGTGAGCAGGCTGGGTTGGCATACAAACCTGGCAGGTAAATGCCCTTACGAACTTGGTGGAAAGCATGCTTCGTGACCCTTCGTCTATGCAAGTCGTGTGAGAACACCTCCAAAACAAACTTGGGCCGTGCATGTGTCTTCAAGGGGCTGACATCATACTTCATTCTCCAACAATACAAAAGTGGAACTCCTTCCAAAGCAGCTTGCTCTGCAGCCCGCCTTTCGAAGAGACTCTGCAGTGCACTGCCTTTCGAGGCTTTCGGGAAGAGGAAATTCTTCCAAGGGCTATGAGCATTTGTCCACAATGTTCGCTGCGGCTAATCTCTACCATTTGACTATTCTTTTAATCTTGTATTGGGTCCCGCAAGCTCCTTGTGGTGGCCCGGGCCTCTCGCCTGCTGCCTCCTTTTCAGAAGCAGGCCGTGGACGTTTATTCCTTGACAATAAGAAGCACGTCTATCCACATGTTCACAAGTATTCACAATTTATTCCGATTCCTATTCCTTGAAATCCCTGCGCCAAACCTATGTCAATGTGTGGCTAGTGCTGCCAAAGCTCGATGGCTCTCCGCAAGCCTCTGAACTTAACAGGAGATTTGTAAGGTCCAATGAAGTCGGCGTCTGAATTACAATCACCACTGCTGCTGCTGCTGCT